TGAGATGTTATTAGTTGAATTCAAGTTGGCTAGTTGAAGTGGAGGAATGCTTTAGTCTTATTGTGTGATAGAAAGTACTGCTTAGACTGAGTGGAAAATTTTATAAAATGGTGGTGGGACCTACAATGCTCTATCGCGCTGAATGTTGGCCTTTAAAAGAGAAGTATAAAACTAAGTTAAGTGTTGTCGAGATGAGAATGCTGAGAATGCTTTGGTGGATTGGTGGATTAGTGGCTTTACACTTAGAAACAAAATGCGAAAAGAATATATCTGTAATAAGGTTGGTGTAGCTCTAGTGGCGGACAAATTAGAGAGAGTCGTCTTAAATGGTTTGGTCACATTAAATGTCAACCATCTGATGATCCGATTAGGAGAGTAGATGTTTTATATTCAACTTATTTTAAGAAAAAACAGAGGCAGACTTAGAATGACTTGGGCATATTGTATAAAATATGATCTTAATTTATTAGAATTAATTGAAAATATGACACTCAATAGGACACAATGGAGAAAAAGTATTCATATAGCTGACCCCACTTGGTGGGATAATGATTTGTTGTTGTATTAATATTCTTTTTTTAATATATCCCAACACCAACGTGAGAGAATGCATTTAAATTTCTTCACATGGTGCAAAACATAACTAGCATCATCAGGGGGTAAAAGTTCATTTAGCATATTCATGCAAGAATTCTTGTCTACATCTTTATTTACATTTTCTTATTATATAATATTTGGGGTGTCAATTTCTGTTCTGGTTTTTGCTTGACCAAAATTAAGCCGACTCTAATATGCTCGATTGAGTTTGACCCATTTATTATATAGGTGATAATAGCTGACCTGAACCTGCCTTAAGCCAAAATTTACTAATTTTTAACTTGTTTAATATATAAATCATGCAATTTTTTAGATCAACACTTGCCAATTAACCTGAATACATTCCGTTTAACCTAATAATATATGTGTGTGTTTTAACATTGTGATTCTAGCATTTTGATTCCAAACTCGAATGATAATCAGTCCTATTTTAAGTTGGCTTCGAGTTATTTGAGTGATCATGAAAGTGGCTTAAATCATAACCAGGTCTACAATTTGGACTCGAACATGACCTAAATAGTAATCAAGTCAGCTTGAACCGTCATTTTTTGAGTTGTGTTTGTGCTGGCTTATCATGTCATGTCATTATTGACACCAATATACAATACATTCTTATGCCAAAATGATTCATTCTAACATGGAAAAACATTTATTGTGGTAGAGATAAATCATATATGACGTTGCAATAGTGATTAAATGAACAAGTGTTAAAATCATTTTATGTATTAGTATAGAATAATTATATCACCATAATATACTGGATATTTGATTACCAATATCAACTTCTAGATGAAAGGAATTTCGTCAACTTCAATGTTGATTTATTCCCAAATGAACTACTGAGATTGTTACATATATATCACGTGTACCATTACTGTTACAACATTCAAGATTCTTGCTTACATTCTTCATAAATATCAATACTCTAGTTTTTTCTATTCTTAAAATTATTGATTAACTTTATATTGTGCTGTAAATCTTAATATCAAATAAAATTCCACATTTTCTTAAATATGCATATTTTGAATGTTCATCTCATTCTTTCTAGATTTACTTTTCTTTCTAATTTTATTCTCCTTCAGATCAAAATCCTAACAACATTTCTTAGAAAATAAAAACTAGGTGTTTATCAATTTGAAGAAAAAAAGGTTATCTTTACCTTCAGTCAACCCTACGATTGAGATCGGCATCTTCACTTTGCTTGACACCCTCATCAAATCCCTCACTCTCATCCACTTGTCGAACATGAATCCATCCCAATGCTTTCTGTGTTCTATGTCTCACACCTGCTCAGTTTTGGTTTTTAGGCTTCGCTTTCACCGAAAAAAAACATATTTACTTTGCTTGATAACCTCATCTAATCCCTCACACTCATCCATCATGATCTGTCCAGATGCTAGCTATGATCTCTGCCTCACACCTGCTTGTTTTTGGTTGGTTGCCCTCGCATTTGCTTTCTCTTCCTTCGTAACTCACTTTTTCTATTTGCTTGGCCAATCGCTGTCTCAATCTCTTGCAATGCCACCCCTCCCCCCAATCTTTCTGTATATGGCGGAACTCACAACTAATTGATTCAATTATTTATATATAAATTGGCCTTTACAAAGGCTTCTTGTTGAATTTCGTATGCCTGTTTTCCTCCATTCTCTTATTACGTTGCAACGTATGCCAAGTTCAAGTCATCCTCTACATATCAAGGTGAATTTGCGATCCTTTTCTCGAGTTAGAAATTTGAAATTTATCAAGTCCTTTTTTCACATGTTGGTCGAAAGTTTTATTTTTAAATGCTTGATTTTGGAGATTGTTTTTACTTGTTGGATCTATGTGCCATAGGTGGTTTCTTTGTCGTACTTCTTGATCACTGTTATGTGTACTATTACAACTATCTTTTGGAAGCAGATTATTTAAGATTTCTCTCTTCTATCATATTATGTGAATTGTCTCCTTGTGCGTTAGCTGAAGTGGTATCTAGATTTTGATACCAGTGAGGAGCCTGCCAATTCACAATGATGGTTGTTTTTCCTCCTCTTTTTGTTCATTTCATTATCCAATTTATACTCTACCCATTGCGATCAATTCATGGCACATGAATATAAGTAGTTTTGCTACCGCTAGACCCTCATGCTTGTCTGTGGCCCACTTTTTAGTCTAATTGATGTTTCTATTTTTTTTGTCTGGAGAGATTTGGATTGGCACTCGTGTGCGATGATTGTTTTAACATGATATTTGAGGGTTTGTTCTCTTCATTGCGATTTTGCAAATCTTTGTATATAAATATGTTGCTTGCTTTAACACTCATAAGGAATTATTAATATCTCCTTGAAATGATCCTATTGTTCATGATAGCTTTATTGATCCAGGTTCTTTGGCGAAAGATGTTTGTATGGTTAATATCATCGATCAAGTTGATCATTCCATCTTGTTAAATTTTTTTCCCCTAGGCATGCCCCATCTGGAATTTTCTTATGTTCTGATAGCCTTTCCTAATGAGTTGATCTCATGTGATGTTTTTAGTTTGTTATGTGTCAGTTTTCCATATGCTGTCATTACTCTATAGTGTCTTCAGCTAATACTTCTAAAGCCTTCTCTAGTAAAGTTCTTATTTACCGGTTGAGGGGCCCTTACTTGCTCCTACTTTAATTCTTTCCAATGGCATAGTTATTGTGTTCTCTAATGGTTCCCATGACTGTGTGATGTGAAGATTGTCGATGATTCGAGTTTTTTTCAGTCCCAATATTATTTAAGTTCTTCTAGCTTGGTGGATAGAAGTGTTCAGGTTTTGTTTCTTGCTAAGGCATAAATAGGAAAAAAGCTTTTCTTCACTCTCCTATTACTACTTGGTTTCATAGTCATCCCAATGCTACAGATGAGTTTGGCATTTTTGACTTAGTAGGAGCTTAAACTTGGACTTACTAACTCCTTTTTGAACTCATTACTCATTATACAGGCCAACTTTTCCATGTATTTTGTCTATCTGCTTTTCTAGAGGCACTTTTTAGCAACTGCTTCTTCATTTAACATTTTTTTCTGGTTGATAATGATTTTTTAGCATTTATATAATTACTAGCAAACTTTGTTCAAAATTCTGAAGTTGAAAAAGGGGAATTCAAGAGGAAGGCCTTTTATGTCTTTTTTGGTGGAACATTTTCTCTCTCCTGTTTTTAACTCAAATGATTGTCTCAAATTAGGCTACGGGATACGTATTATGTATTTTTTGATTGGCTTTATTACTGGAAACTTGAGGATAGTGCAATTTGAGCCTTCTTTCTACAATTCTGTATACCAAGTAAATCAAATATTAAGATTAATTGTTGCTATGTGTTTCAGGAGTGAATTCTATTATTGACTTGAGTTTTCTAATTCACCAACGATTGTTGGTTAATTGTATGTGTTGTTCTATTTATGCCTTATTTAAATTTGTCCCACATTATTGGTTCTAGCATTCTCAACCACGAATGTAATGTATTGCTGGGATTTGCTATGATGCATGATTTTAGTAATGTTGTTGCGATCATCATTCATTTCAGGTTTATCTAACTTTGCTAGGTCATTAATTATTCAGTTGAATAAATCTAACTCTTAGCCGAACTTCTACAATCACCAAAGGAAATTGATCCCGGATAGTGGTTGTGATTAAATTCATGAGGAATCATAGTTGCGGTATCTTCTGAAACTTCTGTCTGAAGCTGCGGGATTAACCAAGCTTTCCACTCAAATGATCGAATAAAGAAAGAAATTGATTGAAATACTTTCCGATTATAAATATTATTACTTAAAACGGTTGGTAATCTATTTCAAATAATTTCTTAATTGAAAGAAGAGAATGAGTTACTTACAAATAAGGATGTGGGGCGTATTATGCATTGGATTAATAAACATTTAATTTAAAAAATATCATATGCTGAAGTTGAACTTGTGACTTTTATCCTCGGAACTAGAGAGCATATAATTTGAGCTGGAGTTATTTTATATAAATACTTTGCCGATCATAATGGTAAACAGAAAAGTATGGCAGATATGCTAAACTATTCTTGTTAGTTGTCATTAACAGAACATATTTGCATTGATTTCATACCAGCCAACAATAAATTCTACATAATCAGATGTACCATAGTTAGCTTGTGGTTATTGTGCTTCTGATCATCAAATGATATCACGCCTCTACTTTTTGTAAAAAGTAAACTGTGTAAAAGATTTGCAGAAAATATATTTAACTCCTAAATTAACATTGAATATAAATAAATAAAAATACGAACAGTATTGATTCATGAAGCCGACCCAAGTGCTTGGGATGCGATTAATGTTGATGATACCGATCCCGTTTCTTGTTTGTTAGCAATTTTTTTTTTCTTCAATTTATCTGTAATGTTTTGAGGGTTTATATGAAACTTTTGTTATTCCAGTTTACTAGTGGTGGGTTCATGGTAGCATTCGCTGGTAGGAAATACGCAGCAAGGTCCATTCCCATTTTTATTGGTAACAGTTCATATGTGGTGACAAGCTTTACTCTGGTTAGTTATAGACTTTTCAATTTATTTCTTTTAATGTAATGCAAAATGCCTTAAACTTGAAACTTCTTTTCATCATCGACATTGATCTGTTGATTCAGATCCTGGAATTTCAAAAGGGCACTCTTCAAAACTTATTTTGGAAACGCGATGGTTGTTCTTCGTGCTCTGGGAAGTCGAATTTTGTATGTCTCAACAATCAGAACTGTGCGATCAAAGCATCTAACTGCAAAGGTGAGGGACAAGGTGGCTCTGTCGATTGTAGCATTGGAATACAGCTTGCCTTCTCAGGCACCGACAAGCACTATGCGGTTCTTAATTCTTGGTACGAGGTTTCGAAACTTCAGCAGTATTCTCTTTATGGACTCTACTCAAATCTGAAGGATTCTCTCACAAGTCAGTATAACAAAATCTTTTAGATTTATGAATGTTTTGATGTTGTAATATGGTACCTTATTTTGACTTCTCTTTGTACAGTTTGAGGTATTTGGTCAGAAGTTACCTTTAGATGGTGCGATTTTTGTAATTTAGAATATGTTCTGGTTTGCTTGTGTTATTTTCCTTTGACATATTTTGAAGTTAATTTTAGTTAAGTATTGTTTATTAATACTTTGAAGCAAGCTCCCATTCATGTTTTGCTTTATTATATTCTTTTGTAAAATTTGGCTTTCTCAGTGAAGCTGCTGCCAAAATCACATCTAAGAGATACAGGGTTTATTTGGGATAATTTTCTTACTATGTTATTCAAATCATCACTGTTTCACTATGGCTTTTGCTATTTTTAGGATTTTTTTTTGTGAGAAATTACTTTTCATAATCAAATCTACTAGTGTGCGGTTGCAAATTTTTATAATCGTTTTTATAATCGAATCTATTAGAGCGGTTGCAAATTTTTATAATCGAATCTATTAGAGTGCGGTTGCAATAAGAAAGCTGTCGTCCAACATTTTCAGAAGAGGATAAGTTTATATCAATTTTTAAAAAATCTATTTTCTTCACATTAGATGACAACTATAGATTGCAATGTTGCTCTAAATAGACCCATAGTGAATAAGCCACATGTGGAATTCAATATTGTCTAAAACTCGGCTCAACCAGCGGCATTCTTGATGATTTCCACAATTGGAGAACCCTAAGCTTTTTACATTGAGGGAGACTCAATGTAGCCACGAAAGTCGAGAGTGAAGCATAGCTGCAAAACTAACATCAATTTGGAGGATTTTATAATTACGTCAACATTGGATGCCAATACACCTCCAAGCTCTCATAGTTGCAATCAGGTCTATAATTTGAATCTACTTTTTTCAATATTTAATTTTGTGTTTGACTTAATATTGGATATTATGAATGTAGCATTAAGCCTAGATATGCCTTTTTAATGAATTCTTGTTTATTTCCTACCAAACATTGTATAGAATGATTAAGGTGATCAACAAACAGACATTTAGAATAATTTTCTCTTCAAACCCATGTGCTAAATAATTAAAAAGATTAGAGTTACAAGATTGTTTGGTTTGCTGAAATAAGAATGTAATGTAAAAATAATATTTTGCATTCAGAGTATTTTGGAGTAATTTGGTTTAGTATAAATTAAATTTATGACTTTAATTTGTTTTTTATTATTAAAAAGAAAAAAATCAATGTAAAATACACAAATTAGTGGCTGTGGCAATGGCGGTCGATGGAGAGGGGCGGCTAGTGGCCGGCGGTGAAGGTTGTGAGAATGGTGGTTTGACAAGTGGGTGAATGTCAGCAGGCTTGCGACGGCAATAGAGGGTTTGCATCAACCAACGACAACGACAAACAACTCTTTACATAAAGTGGTGTATTTTAAATTCGTCTAAATCAAATGAATCTAAATTGAACTGCAACATGCATTTTAATTTTGCATTGCATTTATTTTTCTTCCAACTGAATACTTGGATTTTCAAAAATGTTACCAAAAATTGCAACTCTTCTTGCTGCCAAGCAAAAAGTTCCTAAATAAAGATAAGAACTAAAAGCTAAAGCATAAATGGAGAGTACATTAGGTTGATTAAGGAAGAGATGATTGTAAATTTCATTGTCAAGATGATGGAGACTTCACGTGGAATCTATTAAGTTTATCCACTATTTTGAGATAATTCTAATGACTTTCCAACCAAATATAGAGAACTTAAATGGTGATTTTTATGCCAAGTCCATTTGGGCCAATCTACCTAAAGAAAAAAATAAAAAAGAGCAATCATAAATGCTTGGAAAATAAAAACAATTTGGCTGTTCCCAAAAATGTTTTTTCATTTAATGCAAATGCTCGAGCTAAGAATCACTTCATCACAGATGGGGATTGCTCGGAATAAAGGAGTTTTCAAGTGTTGTTCGAAATAATCTCTACTGAAATATGGGAGGAAAATTTTGATAAAATAAACTAACTTGCTAAATTAATCTAGCATTCATTTCTATGAATCTAAGTTTCATTGAAGAGAGAAATTTTGATACCATTTATCACTAAATAATTAATACAAGATTTTATTGTTGTAAGCATCAATGATTATCTTTCTACAATAAGCTAAGGAAATAATAGGTGGGGTGAGATAGTGGATTTATACTTAACTTTTCATTAGTTGTAGTGGGCTCCACAATCATTAATGAACCTCTATAACATTTTGATATTATTGATGATATTGAGGACAAGAGGTTGGGAAATAAATGCTACGACCCATATCATATTTCGTAAGTTATGGCCCTTGTTGGATGCTAAATCAAATATTATATATTTTAATTTTTTTATCCTTTTTTGTGTAGTTTTACAAGTGGTTATCCATTCTAAGGCGCTCCATTATGATCATTCTATGTTCTGGAGCTCTTAAGAAATGTAGTTATTATAACAAAAAATGCCATTCACCTAGAACTTTATATAGTTTACATCACTCTCCCACCTTTCAAATCAAGAAATAATTCATTTATATCCCACTATTCTTCTAGAAAGCTGTCATTTTAACAATTTGACTAGAGCCACTTCTTATTTGAGCCTCAGCCTCAACCTCAACCTCAATAATCAATCCATGTACTTTCAAGACTAACATTTTAGTATATCTGGTGTGCCTTGCCTACTAACATTTTTTTAGCTAATCCACGTATCATCTTTAAGTATACAAAGCTTTGATATCAATTCAAATGAGCCTAAACATTAAATTATTGTTGACCCAACCCATCCCATATTAGAATGAATATCATGATTTTACTTGAATAGTATTCTTTAATAAGAATATCTTGCAAAGACAACCAAAAGAGACATCTAACATGACATTGAGTAGTGTTGTTGTTGTTGTAGATAAAGTATAGTGATTAGCTCTTTTAGTTATAATCTTAAAAGATGATTGAAGGCAGAAAAGGAGCAAATGCAATTGTCCAAATATAAGTAATATTAATGTAGAAAATGATTAGACTAGCAAGGGAGCTTTAAATATTATAATCACTTGATATAAAGTCTATTCAACAAGATTAAGCACATGAACATTTATATTATCCACCACTAAGCAATGATAGTATATAAAAATAGATAAGTATAACACACATTATATATAAGTTATAAATAATTATGCATAAAATAATTTTTGTATAGTTTGACCAACCCTAAAACCAAGGTCCAAGTCTGGCCAATACTAAACTAGAACTTCAATACCTTTTGAAACAAGCACAAAAAAGATCCTTCAATAGGATGAAGAAGCTTTATATTGATGCACTCTCTTTCTAGATGAGTGCAACTCAACTTACTCTTTTATATGAGGCAAGTACAAATCTAACTCCATAATCAAGTGAAGTTGTTTTAGAACTAATTTTTTCCCCTAATTTTGGAATTGATTTAAGTCGCTTATTATGCTCAAAATATCTTTAATTTACTAAATTGATGTATATGATAAATACACTTGTTTTCAAAATTAAAAATAATTTTTAAGCAATAAGATAAGGACTATCCAAAGTATTTGAATGGTTGAGTTGAATTAGTAATATAGTCAAATTATTCAAGCCTCAATGAAAATATGCAATGTTGATATGGGTTGTTTCCTTGATCTTCTATTAATTTGTTTAATTGTGATGAATTGCCAATAATCAAGCTCAAAATTTGATAAATTTCATTCATTTGTTGTGATGTAGAAATGAGATGTTATATACGAAGGCTTTAAGTATAAGTAAGCTTTATTTTGATATAAATTAAATGGCATATCTCAGTTTTAGTGAAGAATGAAAAGAACTATTTGATTTTAAATATCCACTTAAAACTTCACACAAATTTTGATAAACAAAACCTATATTTGGTTATAGAAATGTTTGAAATGTAAGATAAATAAGCATTCAAAGATCTCTCTCACATAAAATTTCTTCTCAAAATTTTCAAAAGAATTGTGAAAGAAAAAATTTTGAAAACGCTTAACTACCACAAAAATTTGCAGTTCCTTAAAAACCTTAAATGATATGCACTACATTTTTTTTTTATTCTACCAGATGAAAATTGAATATGGCTTGAAATTTGCTTGCCAAGTAAATATGATTTTTACTTAAAAGGATGATTTTATTGAAAAAAAAGAGTGATGTGTTTTTCTTTATGTAGGTAGTTAAGCGAGAGATATTTTATAGAATTTTTTCATTTGCTCCAAATATGTTGTGCCAATTGTGTGAGTTTTATAGGGAGGAGTTCTTGTTCTAAAAAAGTGTTGTTATCCACAGTTTTTGCATTTGATAAATTTAGATCCTATATGATTAGTATAAAAGTTAAAGTTTATACAGATCGTTCTACTATCAATTATCTGGTAATTTGTTAAACCTTATTGATCAGATCGATACTTATAGTACAATAAATTGACATATAAATTTGTGATAAAAATGGTACTAAAAAATCAAGTGGCTAATAATTTATCTATAAATAAGCAGGGAATTTCTGAGAATTGACGTGGAGATATCAATGATAGCTTTCTTGATGAACAACTATGTGTTATAGTTGAACAAACTATTCATTGGTATGCATCATTCCTATTGGCTCGTCATACAATCAAAGAAAAAAGTTTGTTTTTTATATCAGATTTTATTCTTGTGATGAACCATATCTGTGTGTGTACATGTGTGTGTATGTTTTCTCAGTTCTTTTTAAGACTCGAAGTCGCCAACTTGTCAATTTATATGTTCTCGTATAATTTTTTTATTCGAATAAATCTTCATTCTTGATCATATAAATGATTTGAAGATGAGATGAATCGAAAAGAAAGATATATGATAGCAAATATGCAAATAAATTAAAAAAAAAAACAAGTGGAAGACTTATATATGAATTATCCTCTGTTATGGGTCAAGAGTATACATTTGAATAGGATCAGATCAAAGTATCTCGAGACACACCATCCACGAAAAGAATCCCTACATAATAAACTCGTAACCAGATAACAAAAAAAAAAAAGTTTTGGGGTCAAGTGTACGTATCCCCCTGATTAATTACATCATGGGATTACCCAAGAACACTCTCGATAAAAAAAAGTTTCACTTATATTATCTTGAACCTGTAGAACATGCCATCAA